CTTCCACCTCACAAGTCTGTGGCTTTCTCTTCTGCTGCTGAGGGAAGGAGAAGATGGACATCGAGAAAGAGAAAGAATAAGTTAGAGGACACAGTCCTTTGATGGCATGAGGTTGTGGGGGAAGACATAAATTGGGACAAAGTAGAACAAGACATGATGAATCTCTGGAGATTCTTCAAAAATTCTCACATCAAAATTTCCCAGACATCAAAGGCTCAGCCCAGTTGCCAGGACACTGGAGAACCAGTGCAGTCAGTGGGAGGTGATGACAGCAAAGAGGCAGGAAGATCTGATACACTGGCCCTTACTGCGAACTATACCCTGTGGGGATACCACAAGCTACTTAAGACAGGGTAGTGAAGAGAGAGTGGGCGTTGAGAGTGAGACCTAGAATCGGAGGCCCATGCTCTTAATTCTAGCTCAGTCATCATTTACAGGCAAGCAAAAGATGAATGTCAGAGATGTGGCTTAATCAGCTACCCATGGGATGAGCAGATGTTTGTGAGATGCTTTGAAATCTCTTGATGAAAAGAAATGCCAGGAAAAGCTATTATTATTTTAAGTGTTGATCATATAGGAACCAGAGCATCTTTAAACTTGTGTGTTGGAGTCAGAGGTCACAGTATGTTCATCTTGAGTGGATCTCAAGATGGATGTCCCTGGATATCTATCTTCTAATCACCCCAGTTGAGACCAAAGTCATTGTTGAGGTCTGTATCAACTACAACCAGAAATCTCATCACTGGCAGATCAAGTTCCAGTAAGTTTTCTGTGCAGATTCTGGCCAGGCCACTTTGCCTAGAGAGATTTCTGGGCTATGACCTGATAATGTAACTTTCTCCATCTCTCCCTCTCTCCCCTTTCTCTTTTCTGCTTGTACATAAGTTTACGTTGATTTATCAAGGGTCATTTGGAGATTCTAAAATGATCTTTCCAATGATTCTAAAGTGGCTCTCCCTAACTGTAGCTTTCTATCTCTGTTGTTTTTCTTTTTTAGGAAGTGGTTAAACTAGACACCCTTCCTTTTTTTTTTTTTTTTTTAATTTGTCAGGTATATGAACCTGGTTTTCTCCTCTATTTTGTTTCCCTGTAGTTATTACTATACAAACTCCCTTCCCATTTCCTCCTCTGGTCTCAGTTCTGCAAACTATCTACATTATTACTACAAAGGAATATGTTATCCCTTGAGGTCTTACCTGAGAGTATATTCCCTCCCTGTACTCTCCAAAGCTAACAGACTGACTAACTCGGACTTTAGCCCAATCCTGCAACAAGTGAGTACCTGTCCCAATGACCTAAGCAACAGTCATTCCAGGTCACAATCATCACAGGAAGAGGTATTATTTTTCTGCTATTTGTACAAAGTGTACAAAGGTTGTCTATTTGGTGTGGAAGAGATCACTTGATAAAACTGAAGCTGTTTGTAAACCTAGAAAAACCTCAAGAATAGACATGTGACTATTTGACATGGTTATGGAGGAAAGCTGAGTTAAGCTTATTGTATCATAAATAACATGCATATAACAAATCCCCAAATCCTAGAATTTTAGTATCATTTACAAACTCCAGCAGAGTTAAGATTAGGACTGATAAAAAGGAATACTACTTCAAACTGTAGATAATAAGTACACAGAACACATTATCCAAAATATAATCAGAATGTAGAAAGGATCAGAGCAAGTTTATGGCTCACAGAGCCATACATGAGTGAACCAGCCATTTTTCCAACCCTGGTTCTATGTGAGAATCCCAGATCCCTCTCCTAGGGGATTTCATTAGAAATCCCTCTCCTAGGGGATTTCATTAGAGCCCAGAGATCCATATTTTAATTTTGAAAAGCTTCTTCAAAATGATTCTGATTCATAACCAGGTTTAGGAACCATTATTCAAATAACCTTTCCTCCAAGATAAAAGACTATTGAATAGACTACAGGTTTGACCCAAGCCTGGTAACCTCTCTTGTCCAGGTTGGTAAATAACTCAGACAGGTACAGCTGGTATCACTATGATTCAGAACGCTAGAACAGACATTAGACTCTGGGTACTGATCAAATCTAGTAATACAGCAATTCTATGCTCTCTGGCTCATCTTCTCCAAGATCTGTGAGAACTTGTCACCTCGGAGATGAGTCAGTTGAGGCATTTTAGAACAAAATACCACCTTTGGAAAGAAAATTCTGATTTGCTTACAAAGTGAGTTGCAGACTTCCTGTGGCTCTTTTTGGACAGTACTAAATACAGTACTAGGAAGTCATTTATTTAGTAAGCATTTGTTGGTTAAATGTTAGATATATACTCTATGTTAATAAATGGTTGCTGAGAATGTGCACAAGTAAAGAAGACAGTAGTAAAACAGGCCAGAAGTGCACAAGTAAATAAGACAGTAGTAAAAACAGGCTAGAAATGTGGGTCCCAGCATCATAGGTGTCTAGTATGTTCTCAGTTTTAAATTTGTCTTTATATTGGATACAGTCCATTCTAATGGAACAGCAATTCCAGGAAACTATCTAAGAGTCAGTCTGCTCTTTTCAGTTCTCAGAAGATACAACTAACCTGAGGACAAAAACAACTCTAAAAGGAGATGTCCATCTTTTCTACAAGTGAAAGATAAAAATGAATTCCAGAGGATGGAACTAAACAATATCCACATGGTTCCCCAGTATCTTGTGCTCAGTAAGTATCAATGTTTTTGAATAAGTGAATGGATGAATGAAATTTGAATATCAGTTTTACAATTTGTATACCCTAAACAAGTCAGAGAATCTTTTTTCACCTTTTGCATCCTTGTGACTGGGTCAATAATACTTTGACTATTTAGTATAAAATTAGAAATCACATGTTCCAAGAGCAATTAGCACTGTGGCTGGTGGAGACAGGTAGTCAACAAATGGTCGTGGGGATAGTGTGGTTGCTAGTTTGTGAGCAGGAAACCAGAAGATTGCAGGAGCCAACTTGTATGGTCAAACTGACACCTAGTGGCACAATCTTAGAACTCTACCAAAAGTAGAGTCAACTGCTGGTTCAAAACTTAAACTGCGGGATAACTAGGAGCTAGTAAGAACTGCTTTGCATAAGTAATAGTATTAATTCCTCACTAATAATCTGTGCTGACAGCTTCTTTAGAATGAACTTTTAAAAAGTTTTTAAAGTCTACTGATGTATGGATTTTATCTTTGGAGGTTCTGACTTAATTTGCAGATGAGGCACAGGTTTCAACATTTTAAAAAAACATTCTTACTGGATTAAAAAGATGCGGTACATGTACACAATCGACTATTACTCAGCAACCAAAAAAAAAAAAAGAAACACATGCCTTTTGCAGCAACATGGATCATGGATGGAGCTGGAAAAGATCATGCATAGTAAAATAAGCCAGAAAGAAAAGGAAAAATACCGGATGGTTTCACTCATAGCAGTATAACGGTATAGGTATACCGGACCAAGGGAGAAAATAATAATAATAAACAACTATATACCAGAGACATTTTATGGGATGGAGTGGGGAATGGGATCAAAAACAGTGGGGGAAGTGTACTGGATTATGGTGATGGCACACGGGCTATTGGTGATGGGAAGCCCAAGGGGATTGCAACTGAGATGGGAAAAGGCACATGTGATGTAAAAATAAGCTACTATATTATAAAAAAAGAGCAGTCTTAATATACAACCAAGTTGAGAACCACTGCAATAGGCCATTGAGATAATTATTACTTTTCCCATTTTACAAATTAAAGTCCAGAATGATAATATAATTTTCACAGAGCCCTGTAGTTATTAGTAGCAGAAAAGAATTTGAAATTGAGTCTCCATCACATTGTCTTCATAGATGTTTTTAGAAGTCTATAGTTTTCCACTTACTGCCAGAGAATCTCAAATCCAGAGGCTTTAGGGAATGCTATGACCCTGTGGGGTGACTCACCCCAGATAACAGCCTGATGTTGACTGAGCAGTGTATTCCAATAAAGACACTGACTTCAGTCTTATCTCTAGGCTCCTTCCCAGAGCCTGAAACTCCATTGCACTGCTGATGAATAAATGAGCAATGTGAAGTTGTTTGCTTCAGAATTGAAAGCTACAAGATAAATCTAAAACTTTTGTTTTCTTTTCTGATATCATGGATATGTTAGAGAACTAAAACAGGTTAATCATCCACTAATGAGTTACAGGAAAGCACTGACTGCATTCTATATCTTCTACACGTTTGCCCAAAAACAGCTGAGGTGAGTCATCCACAAGTAAAGGAAAATGAAAGATTTAAGTCTTAACATTTGCCCTCCCTCAGAGGTCCTCAGAGGACAGATGATCTTGAAAGGATGAGAAGCCCAAGTCTCTTCCAAAACCCAGTCTGTACAAACTGCCTACTCAGCCCAGGCATGGAAAATAAATTGGGCCTCACTGGGTCAGTTAGAAAGGCTATAGAGTTTACAGAGATGAATGGGGTACAGGAGAATTTTTCTGCATTTTTATGAGAAATTTTTTTGGGTTAATCCTGGGCAGCATATGGAAGCAAGCTGAGGGTGCCAAGATTCAGGCAAATGGGCAATATTGTAGAACATCACCATCTGAAAACTCTCAAGAGTGACAAACTACTAGCCCAAAAGCAGAATTTGGGTCAGATGTGTTTGGCACAGTGTTAGCTGACAGCATTGTTAATATTTTTTACTTCAGTACCAATATACAACATTGTAGAGGTTTATGTGAAAATCAAAAAATTATTAGAAGCAACATGTATAGGTACGGGAAAATATGCCATATAGACTAGTGTGATATTAATTTTCTTTAACCCTCTGTGTAAATGATGCACATTAAAAAAACAGATGTATAGTTAATTAGATTTTTCTTTATAAATGTAATGACAGAGATTATACAACATCAGTTAAAGAGACAGGATGTGACTTGGTCTGCTGCTATTTATCTTGAAGCAAGAGAAGAGCTTATTGTAGAGATAATCACCTTCCCTTCCAAAGGAAGAGGACATGTCTCTCGACAAAACTTCTCCATGTGTTTTTACTTAGCTAGAGATCTTGGTTGTCACATCCAAATGGCCCATCACATTCCTTTCCTCCCAGGCAGTGCATGGACCTTTGAAAAATGAGGGAGGAGAAACCTCTTCTTCTTGTGTTTAGGCCCAGTACTGAGCTGTGTGACCAGGGATTTGGTGTGCGGGGTTTCACAGGCTGCAGAGAAATACAAATACATGAGTGCAGATTCTAAACATGTGGTCCCATGTGAATGGTAGATCCCAAAAGAATGTCTCCTCAACCATGGTTTATCAGAACTGTTCTGGGAGATAATATAATAAATAAAAAAATCACTCCATGAATTTAAGACTGGCCCCCCTAACCCCAGTCAGAGCTTAGTGGAGATAATGCCTAAATTTTCCACTCAAAGCTTAGGCATCTGCCTGGTTATCTTTAGGACTAGCCTGTGTTTTCTCTGTCTTTATTGTTAATTCAGGAATTGCAGCAACTGTTGGACATTCTTGCAGCTATGACTAAAGAGACTCTTTCCTGGCATTTGCTGAGGTGAATTCACTCAGGGTGAATAGCCCATATGAACACCATATAGCTCTCTCTATTTTTTTTAACTCAGTAAACTAATATAGTGATGGCCAGGTTTGAGCTTGTATCTAGATTAAATCATGCCCAGGAATCTAAGTAATTCTGTTTTCAATCCAGGTTTCAATATTATTTTATTGAATAAAATGAGGGATTGCCATCCTCACGAATTCTCAGCTTAGGGCAAAAGTACACATGGTTGCCCATATACCATATGTCTAAATATTCACCTGTTATAAATTAACCTAATAGATTGTTCTGTAAAATGCATTCTATAGCTTACCTTGATGAGGAAACCAGGTTTGAATTTAAAATTTTAAAATTCTTTGGAGTTCTTTACCATTATGATGGTAGAGGAAAACAGACCTGCCAGTCTATTCCCAGTAACATTCCAGAGTGAGTGTACCTTACACAGACACATGTGGAAACAGCAGACATAAAGGTGCAGGGTCACAGGTTGATAAGACATGCTCTGTGGTGCCCAACATTGAAGTATGTTGGTAAAGGAGGAAAAACAAGACTTGAAATGTGTAGAGCTCATAACTGGTTTATGGAAAAGTCTTCTAGTTGTTATATGATAATAATATAATTTTATGTACAAAATTATAAAATTACCACTAATACCTGGACAAAAAGTTTTCTCATAATACAGCATTATAATGTAACATACATGTTTCCTTTTTGATAAGAATGAATCAAAATAGGATGAATCATGATCATCTATTTATAGGGAGTAAACCTACAGTGATACCACAAATGTAAGTTTGTGTGTGTGTGTATCTTTTCTTCTTTAATTAATAAGTAGGACAATATTTATTACCATGTATGATAAACTTAATGGGATTTTTTTTTAAAGATTTATGTATTCATTCATACAGAACTGGGGTACAGGCCAGAGATGCGGAGGGTGAGAAGATTCACCAGAGACAGAGCAGGGAGCAGAACAGGCAGATCAATGAAGTACACTGCTGAGGGGAGCAGCGGGCGGGTCAGGAAAGGTCTGCCGCACCATGTGGATCTCCTCCAGGGCAGGCAGGGATCGAACTCATGCAGAATCTGCTTAAGCTTCTTAGTACTGTGCTTTAACCTGCTGCGCCACCAGGGAGGGCCGGATTATTTTTTATTTTTATCTGAATAGTCTTCAATTAATCTCAAAAAACTAACACTAGAGTTTAATATATGTCCACTTACCTATTTGTCACATAATATTTATTTCATAAATATCATTTCACTTTCATATTATTCATATTGATGCTAGTGAATAAGCACCAATGCATTATTATATTGATTGTTTTCATTACTTAAATATTGAATACATTAATTGTGAAGGACCATATAATTGACTATTTCTTATATTTGAAATGAAAAATGAAGTCATGATAAAGTAAGTTTCACCTTCAATGAATGTTTATTTTTAGAGATTTTTATTTATTTATGCATACAGAACTGGGGTGCAGTGGTGATGAGCAGATTCATCAGAGACAGATAGGGGAACAGAACAGGCATATTGATGAAGTACACTGCTGAGGGGAGCAGCAGGGGGCCATGTGGATCACCTCCAGGGCCAGGGATCAATCCTGCAGCTAGCTTGCAGTGCTGTGCTTTAACCCATTGTGCCACCAGGAAGGGCCTCTAATGAATGTATGTAATAGCTTTACTCATAACCACCAAAAACTAGAAGCAACCAAGATGTCTTTCAATAAGTGAGTGAATCAATAAACTTTGGTACATATATATTATGGAATATTATTGAGAGATAAGAAATGAGTGATGGCTTTTTAACTTTTTTTCACAAAGATGGCGCCAAAAGTGAAAAAGGAAGCCTCTGCCCCTCCTGGAGTTGGAGCCTCAGCCAAAGCCAAAGCTTTGCAGCCCAAGAAAGCAGCACTAAAAAGCCATCTAGAGTTACAAGAAAAAGAAGATCTCATGTTACCCATCCTCCAGAAGTTTAAAACACTGTAACTCCAAAGGCACCCAGATATCCTCAGAAGATATGAAGGAACTTGGGGGCCACCAGGTGAGTGGTGGGGAGCCTCTGGAGGGCTCAAATATTGAGAGTGACGTGACTGATCTAGGATCACCAGGCCATCATCGAGTTCCCCAGACCACCATGAGGAAGATGGTACCACACACACTTGTGTCCATCATGGATGTCAAGGTCAACAAGCAGTAGATCACAGAGGCTGTGAAGAAGCTCTATGGCATCAACACAGCCAAAATCAACACCTTGATCAGACCTGCCAGAAAGAAGGTGTCTTTTGTTCAGCTGGCTCCTGGCCATGAGGCTTTGGATGTTGCCACTAAATTAGGTTCATCTAAAATGAGTCCAGCTGGCTGAGTTTAAATTTTCACCATTGAAAAAAAAAAAAAAGAAAGAAAGAAGTAATCCAGCTGCAAAAGACATGGGTGAATCTCCATAAATGTGTATGATTAAGTAAAAGAAGCAAGCTGAGAATGCCACATATGTATGCTTTTTAATTGCATGACACTCTGGAAAAAGGAAAACTATAACCATATTAAAAATGATCAGTGATTCTCAGGTGTTTGGGGGATGGAACAGAAAATGTAGGAAGTGAAGCACAGGAAATTTTTAGGGTAAATTATTCTGTGTGATACTGAAATGGCAGATACAAGGCATTTGCCATGTAGTTGTCAATACTCCTAGAGCTCTATAGCACAAAGAACGAACTTTTGTGTCTGCAAATTTTAGAAAATCAGTTAGATGGTTAGGGACTCCTGAGAAGGAATTCAGAATGACTATAGAATGTAACTGTAATCTCAATTTAAATATTTATCATTGCAGCAGATAACAAGCTGATGGAAAATATCTTCAGGCAAAATAGATATTAGAATAACAGTCTGTATAGAAGTCATTTCAAAATGGAAATATAAATTTTGAAAGATTAATTTTCAACTTCAAATATCTAGTTTAATTATACTTTTTAAAAATGGATGGTGTAGGTATTGAATTATGGTATTTTCGGTTGCATTGAAAAGTGACAGAATTTTAATTTAAAATGCCAGTACATAAATGCTGGAATA